ATGGAACTTTGTGTGGATCGGTTGGAATGCGTTTTTAATATGCTTCTATTTGAATGTCGGCAGCCTGGATAAGGTAAGCAATTGAGGTCAAATCACAAATAACATATGGGAAATAGGGCTTAGCCTGATAAAATATTGTATATATAGAACAGAGCTTTGCTTTTATGAGGGAGCGATTGTATGTTAAATGATTTTATTTACAGCTGGAACTTTTTGTAGCTGATTAATATATGTTTATTGCGTTTTTTTTTTTAGTACTTTTTAAATTCTTTATACGTAGCCGTTTGCTTAGGCGATTCATATCATATCTTCCTTTCGATTGGAAACTTCTATGAACTTTTGTTTGCTATTTTGCTTTTGGATTGTTTCCTTAACATGTTTCCAATTTAAAATAAGTATTTATATACCTTCATCTCATTTATATCGATTATATAAATCCATTATAATATCTTTATCGAGGCAATCTATTAACTGCTTTCGTTTCCTTTTGCAGGATGGGGATTTGCTTAACATGGGCACTGGCAGCGTCTCCTGGTTCGAGGCGAACGGTTATGGCTGTAAGCCCACCTATAACATTACCTCGGATGATCCGTTTCGACCTTTGAGGCCGGAGCGTGTTGAGGATTGTCTGCTGGACTATACGCTCGTTGAGGTCATCCATTCGGGTGTACAATGCGCGCTGGCGGTGAGCAAGCTAAATATATATAAATATGTGCACACACTCATATACATACATATATATGTTAATCAATTTTAAGTGCTACGAATTGTCATCAATTGTCTGACTCTTTCTCTCTCCCTCCTTGTTTAGCTGCTGGGCATACTTGGTGCGATTCTAATCAGCTGCATATTTCTCGATGAGGACGACAGATGTAAGTTGCTGCAAAGCTCGACAAATTTCAAGCACATTCATCTATCTATATATATATTTATATTGTCTAAAAGTGACGCACTCTTTGGTAATTGGTTTCTAACAATTTGTAGTTTTGTCTTTTTGATTTAACCAACTTTTTGTGTATATATATTTATATTTTTATAATAATTTCCCAAAGCTCCCCGAAAGAAATTAAGCTGAATGTTTATGTACGCAACGACTGATATGTTTATATCTATAATTGTTAAACTATATATTTATTTATAAACAAAAAAGAACGAAGTGAACTGTGTAATGTTATATGAATTTCAAAGCTTTGATATATACAAAAAAAAAGAATACCTGCCCGGAATGTCTTCCTATTATTTTTGTTTTTTGTTTTTGATTAACCAAGCGAAATGTTTATAAAACGAATGTGAAAAAAACAACCAAATGTTATGCATACCAGAAACAATCATATGCCACATATATATATACTCTATACAATTATCTTATATCATATATCATATATCATATCCTTTATATATATGCTCGTAAACGTTATCTATGTTATAATTATGTCATGAGTCCAACGAAAAGAGCTATAATTTTTGATTGTTATTTAATTGTTAATTGCTTTTGCTGTTTAATCGCACACACATAATACACATTTGATTTGTATTTTATTTATAATGTTAAAGCATCTTAAACAATTTCTGGTTTACAGTCGATTTCATGAACGGCGATGCGAAGAGTCCACAGCACACCGTCGTCCATCCAATGTACGTGAGCTATACAAGTATACCAACAACGTCTGCAAGCGCAACCATGCAATCAAATAAGCATATGCAGCAGCAGCAGCAGCAACAACAGCAGCAGCAGCAGCAGCAACAGCAGCAGCAGCAGCAATACTCACTGCAATTCCATCAACACAGACACAAATCGAGCAACCACAACAACAACAACAACAATAGCAACAACAGCAGCTACAATAATACACTCAGCAATGCTCATCAACAGCCACAAGCACAGCAAGCAAATAACCTTAATGCATACCAACCACATTTAACCCACACAAGTGGCAACAACAACAGCAACTACAACAGCGGCAGCAAGAACACTCGCAGCAGGTCGCAGCAGCAGCAGTCACAGTTGAACCACATTGAGAGCCAAAACAAAGAGCAACAGCAGCGCAAGCGCCTCTATCAAAGCAAATCACCCGCTTTGAACTCAGTCAGTCCCATGTCCCTGTCCATGTCCATGTCCATGTCGCCGCAGACCACCTCCTCGCTCTCGTATGCCTCGCTGCAGAACTCGAATCCCCAGCTGAGCAACAGCAACTACAGCATTTGCAACGATACGTCCAGTGGACACTTTGCACGCATTCATCATAAGCCAAAGGCTCCCAAGTCGTTGCCCGACATCAAATATGCCCAGGTGGCTCTAGCCCGACTTTCGCGCAATTTGGAAGAGGATGAGGACAGCTTCTCACTGCACAATCTATCGCCCAATGGCGACAATGGCGTTACCTATGTGCCCTTCCAGAGTCCCACGCCCAATAGCTTGTTTGTTGAGAATAATAATGTGGGCACGCCGCACATTGCCTTCAGCTCCCATCCCGAGCAGGCCCATAACAACAACAACAACAACAGCAATAATAATCATTATCCATATGAACAGCATGGCTTGCCTTTGCCTTTGTCTTTGCCCACTATTTCGAGCTATAAGCAACTGCCACGCCCCACACAGATACCGCTGCCCACTGTGCCCATACACAGCTGCCATGTCGAGGCTGATCCGGCGTCGGAACTAACCCTGTCTCCCCCTCCTCCTCCTGTGCCACGGCCGCACATATTTCAGCCACGTCTGGGTCAAGCACCCTACCCCGATCTCTCGCCCGAAATAGCCGAAAAATATGCCATGCCCACACAGCATGTGCCCAGTGGCTCGCCCATGGTGCGTCGCAGTCAGCGTCGCCCGCGTCCACATCCAGCTCCGGCCAACTTCTGTGATCAGATACGGGACACACCGCCCGGCTACATGTTGCGCGCCCACAGCCAAGATCGATTGGAGGAGCAGCCGGTGCCAGCTCAGTCCCAATCCCAATCGCAATCGCCATCGCAGTCGGCTCCGCATGTCAATCGACGCAGCGGACGCAAAGCTCGGCCGCGCTCCTTTTGCAATTCCATTGTGGGCGCCCAAGCCTAAAGGGCCTTCACACACAGATCCTCATTTTGCTGCATTCCTTTTGACCAAATCTGATAGACTTTTAGAGATTATACAGGTGCGTTAAGTCGCGCCCATTCGAACCGAAGCTCCAGTTGTCTCTCTCGCTCTCACGCTCTCTTTGACTCACGTATGTTCAGCTCCTTTAGTATCTCTATATAACCATCTCTCTCTCTCTCTCACACACTCTGATATATACATATATTATAAATCTGTACTGCGGGTGCTGGGCGAGATTTGCCGCTTGTGTCTCATGTGTTTGTCCATACTAACTAACTGTATATTACGATTTAGTATGTGTTGTCATCCTTTTTGTTGTGGCTAACAGAGTTTAATCTTAATACAAGCTACGAGCACGACCTAGAAACACTATAGTTAGAGATAGTTTGTAAAGTGCTGGCTTGAAGTGCAATGCAAGAGAATGGTTTCGATTTCCCAAAAAAAAAAAAAAAAAAAAACAAAAAAAAACTGAACGACTAATCTGTTCCCAGTTACAGTTTAGCTTAAAGCAGGCGTTAGGCAAAAGCATATATTGAGCTGTGCTCATTTGAACGAACTGTTCCCAGTTGCAATTAAGGTGTGGGAACAGTTAGCTGTAGACACTTATACGCAACTGTTTACAGTTGCTAACTACATATATAATGCTGTTCCCAGTTAGGAACACCTCTAGTTAGCTCTACTTTAAACAATTATTCTCGACTTTTACTATGCAGCTGTTCCCACTTGCAGATATATAAAAGTTATTTGATGATCTGTACCCTATTGTTGTCTGTTTATATGATGTTGTTCACAGCTCGAGTTTCAGTTTGAATGTGGACTATATATTAGAATCAGAGTAATACTAAACTAAAACTCACTTTAAGTGTCATGTAAAACGAAAATGTTGCAATAATTAAGAGTGTTCCCAGGAACAGCTGTCCATACCGTGCAAGTGCAATGCAAATTGAATGAATTACAGTTACATTCAATACCAACTGTTCCAATTGCAGCTCAAGCAAGCGGCAAGCAGAAAAGTTGAAATTTTATACACTTAAAGAAATTTAGTCTAGCAAAATGTTCAACATAATGCAAATTTTATTAACAAAGCTAAAAGAATTTGTTGCGTCTAGATTTGCCTTGCATAGCACTTGAAGTGGATAAAAAAAAAGTAGATTTAAGCTAAATATTGGATGCCTTGATAGCCATTCACTGAATTATGTGACAAACACACAAGAAATACATACAGACATACATAGATACATACATACATACGCGCTCTCATTCATGTGAGGCTTTCCATAATGGCTGCAAACAACATTATGAAATGTGATAGAAAATGTTACAAAAAGATGAAAAAAAAAAAAACTGAAACGATACGAAACGAAACGAAACGAAATGAATCGAAAAACTATAAACTGGGAAGGGAACTAAATGGGAAGAGAAACGTAACGCTAAGCGGAAAGTCGAAATGCCTTCATAATTTTATGTTCAACTGTGATACTACATAACGATAACAAATTATTAAAACAAACACACAAACAAATGTCACAAAAGTTGTTAAAAATTCAAATCAAAATATTTAAATTTGCCAATGCAACCAAAATGCCTTTAAAACGAAAGAAAACTTTTTGTTGAAAAATATAAAAGAAAGAAAAGGAAATTAAAGAAAAATTTAAGCGAGATTCGTTATATAGATTTATCTCTATACATATATATATATATATCAATTGTTAAGACTAGTTATTAAGCTTTACACAGGAGAAATTCGCTAATTAGTTAATAGGCAGAACGAACGATCTATATAGTATATATAAAGATATATGTATGTAGTTCTACTTATAGAGTCTATATAGTTCTACGAGCTGATTGCGTGCCAATATATATTCTGCAAAACGTTTAACCCTCTAAACAAAAATATTAATAATAATAAATGTTCATTTACACAAAATGTTTTTTGGCTTTTTGATATCGATGTCGATAGTTATCGACTTATATATATATAATCTGGTTAACTGGCTTCATGTAGCTGCTATCCTCTAACTGTATCTCTGTCTCCCTCTCTCCCTCTCTCGTAGCTAATCCTGTATACATTTTAATCACACAAAACACCAAAAATCAAAATCAAAATATCTAACAATGCTCAGGTAACTGCTGTTAACTTGGCTAGCTATATCTGCCTTAGAATAAAGTTGATCGATCACTGAACTAATTTCTTGCATTTCGTCATCTACAGTGAAGCACATTAGCAAGCAGTCGAAGCATCGCCAGTCGCTGTACTCCATTGATATAAGCGACACGATACGGCATCGAGGCGACGTGATGTTGGGCTTTGGCGATCCACACGATCAGGATCTGGATCAGGATGGCGGCGAGCTGAGTCCCAAGCCCATGACGCCGCGTCGGGTTAAGCGGCGCTCGGTGATGGCGCGCGGCTCACATGGCAGGCAATCGAGTGGAGCKGGGGGCAGCGGCAGCAGCAGCACCCGACGCTCGCATCATGGCTCCAGCAACACATTGAGATCGAAGCATGGACATGGACATGGGGACAGCAGCAGTGGCAGCTATGTGCGGAGCAGCACGCGTAGCTCGCGGCGCAAATATCAACAGAATCCGGTGACCAAGTTGCTGGATCAGCAGCAACAGTTGCAGCTGCAACAGCAACAGCAGCAGCAGCAGTTGCAACTGCAGCAGCAACATCAGCAGCAGCAGCTGCAGCAGCCACAGCTGGGCTCATTTCATCGTCAGCGCTCGTTGACAGCTTCCAATTTGCAGAATCTCAATGCGGACATCGCCAGCAACAGGAACAGCAACAGCAACATCAGCAACAGCAACATCAACATCAACAACATTATGAGCAACAGCAACTTGTATCACAGCTATCGCAAGAATATACCACTCGATCCCATTTACTATAATACAAATGGGCAGGGCATGTTGTTGGAGCAGCAGGCGTCGCCGCCAYTGCCGCCGCCGCCGCCACCACCGGCGCCACTGGGCGGTGGCCACTATAATCCCAGCTATCAGCACTCGACCACGCAGCTCAACGATGTTGGCCATGCCAGCGATGAGCTGTACAACAACCGTCCGCCCTCTGTGCGCTCCAGCTACTCCAATTTCCACGGCTCACGCCCACTCTCCACCGCCTACAACAATGCGGAGAATGTTTTTGTGGGTCTGAGCGGTGCCAGCGCCAGTCCGCCACAGCCGCCCTGCACGCCGCCACTGTATCAGCAGCACCCACTACACCAACAGCAGCAGCAGCAACAACAACAATATCTGCCGCCTCCTGTGCCAGAGCCAGCGCCAGCTTACGTCAGTGCCCAGTCTCACATGAGCTTCTCAAAGCGCACTGCCTCCAGAGAGAGCATACGCTCCATGGCCTTCCTGAACAATGGACCGCCTGCCTATAATCTTAACTATCATACGCCGCCTGACTCCGAGACAACCATGTGAAGGACCAGTAACAAATATTTATAGCTAGCATATGAATCGTTCAGTAACTAATAAATCAATAAGTAATAACTATTGTTTGAGTCATCCTAAAACATCACGATCATAAGTAAATATCATTCATTAACTTAAAACTATCATTTGGATCATTGATCATCTTTTTTTTTTTTTTGCTATGTGAATAACTTAGTGCCTATGAAGATATATTTATCATATGAAGGAATTATTTAATAACCTGTTCATATCATTCAATGTTTCAAAAAGTTCAAAAATATTCAATAGCTCGGAGATATAAAATTGTATCATAGGAATTCCAAGATATGAATCCTTCAATGACTTATTGACATCACATGAATCATTCATTAATAAGTTATTGAATGTTCATATGACTCATTCAATCATATATACATCAAAGATCTCGATTGACTCGAATCGAACACTATTTATATCGCTATAAAAATATACAAAGTTAACTGTAAACAATTCGCCCACAAACTACATGATAACTGTTTACTTATATCTTATATAATTATCTATAAATGTATTTAACTCTAAATCTAAATTAGATTTTAAGCTTCTGTCGTTTTACCAAAGTGCCTTTGTATATACATATATAGAAAACAACAACAAATAAACGATTCTTTTGTATGTCAGATCTACGTATTATGAATTTAGATAAGATTGTAGATGTTAGATAGATGATGAGATATCGCAAACTAACCTTCATATCACAATTCGTCAGCACATATAGAATATAGCTTTTATATTGATTTTGGTGGGTTTCTAGATAGTGAGAGCTATGAGAATTGATGTAGATATATAGAAAATAACTGACCTTTATATGACATTGAACTTACGCTTCTTATTTTTAACAGTAAGGCAAGAGAGATATGGTTAGATATAGATATATATACTGAAAAATATACATATATATTTATATTTGTAGGTATGGATATAGACATAGATGTAGATATAGACAAAGATTTGTGTACAGGTATAGACATCGATTATAATGCATAGATAGTTTGTAGCTCGTGCTATATAAACTGTAGACCCGATATAAAGCCTGATATTTATGTATAGGCTTTGAGGCATTGCTGTAAGATAAGTATAATCCCGTTGTTATTCATTGCGGCACACTAGAAGCGAGAAATAATAGAAAAGTATGGTAATATTTATAGGTATATACATATATTCTTAAGTTTGTACTACTAACACTCATCTGCTTCCCAGCCCGGCTCCAATTCAAGCTGCATATTCCGCTCCTTCAGCCAGGTGAAGAGCGGGGCAAAGTATTCCAAGATGCCGCGCCCACTCAGCTTGCGTTCACCTGTGGCTATAAACATGATGTCCCGCCAATGCTTAGTGGCGCCCAATTTCATCATTTCCCTATGCAAATAAAAATATAGGGTATATAGCATATAGAACTAAGTTGAGCAGCTATACGTACCGCATCAAGTCTCCCGCCTCAGTGCTTTTGTGAAAATCGCAATTGTGCAGCGGAAAGTTAGGATCTCCAGGCTTATATTGTTGGCTAGCTATGCAAAAAGAGCGATAAAACTGGAAGCCAAGAACCTCACTGATGAATTTTCTGGGAAGAAGAAGAGAGAGCACTTAGACAAGATAGACAAAATACGAATATAAAGCCTATTTTGAAACAAGAATAACAGTGAAGACTATATAAGACTAGCAGGATTATATGACAGAAGAAAAACTATTTAAAACTGGAAATATTGTAGAAATGTATATATGAAAGGACAAATAATTATTCTAGGCATGGAAATCTATATTAGAAGAATTCCTACAGCTAAAAATAATATTTCTGCTTACCTTGTACTGGATTTCTCTGGCTGTAGGCCACGATAAAATTTATAGTCCAAATCAAAGTCCTTGGCAGTACGCCATCTGGGAGGCTGTACGCCCGCAAATTTGTCCTGCAGACGCCAATAGGCGCAGTTGTAGTCCTGTACGCCAATGCGACCGTCCATGACATCCACAAGGAATTTATCGTTGATGAAATACTGCGGCACAGCCAAGAGCGTGTGTACGCCCATGCGGAAGAGGCGATTCAGGGACTGATTCTCCGTTAAGCTATCATTCAACAGGATGTAGAGGCGATGCAGATGACGTGGCGTGCCCGAAGCCAGCACCGCAGTCTCGCCTAGCGCGGCAGCAAAGCCCGGACAGGGTTCCGTATCTAAGCCAAACGGTAGCTCACGCTTGTAGATATTATACTGCAGCTCGGCCATGGTGCCATGGATTTGCATCAGCTTCTTGTAGTTGGGCTTGGGACAATACCGCATCGCGACATCTGGTGGAAAGTAGTAGACTTGGGACTTGCAATCCGGGCCGCCTTCATCATCATTCATGCGCCGTAAGAAGCGCTCATAAAAGTTGCTGCAAAGGAAAAACATAAGCATTGAGATCGGCCGACTTAGAGTTACTCTAAATTTCACCTATGCATCTTATTGAGACCCAGCGACTCGAAGAACTCGGTTGCCTTGTTATTAATCTTGACAGGTGTCACGAGCACCTCCTCCAGACGATGGTGCACTGAGGGCAACTGATCCTTGGGATAGGGCGTGCGGAAGATCTGGTGCGAGTACCAGGCCTGCGACAGCATTTGATCGAACACGGGCGCTGAGATGGCGCCGTCATCTTTGATATTGGCCTTGGGGTAGGCGAGTTTGGCCGAGTGCCTCAAATAGGCGTGCATCTCCCTATAGAGCGGCATTATCTCCCAGATAACTAAGCAGTAGGGTTAGATATATAGATATGTATATATAGTAATGCCAATGATAAGTTCCTCTATCATGTATATAGATGAACTACCGCAAATAATTACAATAAAGCAGAGTATGGCTTTTAAAGTTTCCATTTCTCGACCTCTCTTACCCTCCTCCATTTCCGCCTGGAAGTTCTCCGTATCGTAATACAAATACCAAGTTCTGGACGGCGTCACATGCCCATTGTAGGTGGCAGCGATGCGCAGGAGGCGCACATAGTCGATGAACGTGGACCTGGCCGTATCCTTGTCATTGATGGCAATGCGCCAGTAGAACCAGTTCGTTTTCAGATCCTCGTACACCCTTGTGTGCATATTCAGATTGTAGAGCTGGGGGTACATGGCCAACGGTCTGCGCGCCGAGCAATCGTCGCTGGTGCAGACCAAGGCGCCGCTGATGAAATTCTGCATGGTTCTCAGCAGATCCTTGGCCTGTTCATAGTCGTCGGGTCGCAAACCGTGCAGCTGGAGTTTGGCCAGGCGTTGAACGCGACGACGTAGCAACGGATCACGCAGCTGCTCCACGGGCACAACACTCAGATTGGCCGCCAGCTCGTGGAGCAGCTTGTAGGTCTCCGTTTCCACTTCCTGCTTGCTGGGCGCCTGGCCACCCAGCGGAGACTTACCCTTCGAGGTGAGCTGCAGAAAGATGCGTCGGCGCATATCCCATATGACGCGCATTCGCTGCGTGGCCACATCAAGTATACGCTGCGTGGAC